TTAAAATGGCCGAGCGCGCCTTGCCCAGTTTTGAATTTTTCTTCCTTTTTGCAACCCGCCTCATTATGCGCTCCGATCCGACCGCCGACGAGGAGGAGGAGGAGGAGGAGGAGGAGGGACGAAGCTGTGATTGCGATTTCTCGATGATTTACATACGCGCACAGAAATGTCCCTCTTAACGCTTTCACAGATGCAAGCGCGCACTCCGAACTTCCATGTAATGAATTGTCCGCGGCGCAACGTTACGCAACGCGATCGCGGAACGCGAATTGTGGAGATATAACTCGGAACGATGAGGGGATATGAATATTGATATCTCGAGTGTCAGATGTTTCGAGAGCTGACCGAACGTCTTCATTCAACGCGCGTAGAAAATTGTCTAGGTGGAATCTAACTCTCTAGCAAAATTAGGAGTTCTAGTAAAAGTCTGGTAAAAGTTCTGGTAATGTCTTTAGGAAAACTTGCGAAATCAGATTTAATCTATGATTTGTCTAAGAATTAAATCGTGATTTTCAAATTAGACGTGTAACGTCTTAACTACGTAATTCTGAGTGGAAAACTTAAAGAGATTCCATTTAATTCCCATTTCAAGTCTTGTAAGCTTTATAAAACAAAAATGTGTTATATTGCGATTTAAATTGAAGAGAATAAGTTAAGAAGATTTAAGAAGATTTTTCTTATCTTTTATCTTATCTTGATTATATTAATAACGATAATTTAGAACTATTACTATTTAGTATTTGCTAATTACTTTCAGTAATTAGTAATTACTTTCAGAGAAATTTTTTGTAGAAACCAAAATAAAAAAAATTATTTTGGGCGTCGATCCAAAGGCGAATGGCACGAGGGTGAGAGACTTTTCTGACGGTCTCTCGTCAAGATTTTGGACGATGATCGTATCGAACGAATTGTGCAACGCGCGCGAGAGCGACGTCCCGATGACGCGATTTATCCGCGTGGAGTCCAATCCCCGGGAATAAATCGTGAGAGTACCGTAATCTTTTTTCTCTCTTCGGTTTCTACAACGACGAACGAGTCTGACCGGATACGATCAAAATATCACGGAGTTTTGGACCGAGATGACTAGCCGCCAAGGTTGCGCGATTAACCTCGCCTCGCCCGTGCTCGACCGGGCAGTCGCATCGGAGAGAAGTGTGGTAAAAAGCCAGGACGAGTTTCGGCTATTCCCGCTATCGGGATCGCACGTCCTCGTGTGTGAGCGCGAAGAAACAACCGCGAGAAATTAATTCGTGCGCGCGCCCGATTATGCAAGTTGCGCGGCGTGAAACGAAACTCGCCCAGCCTCTAATTCGTTTCGAGGCGCTCGATTTTCCTTTCGTCCCGCGAATAAACAACTCTCGATTACGAACGGAGGAGATCTCTCGGAGTTATGTCGACGGGTTTCTTCGCAGATAAGAGAAGCAAAGTGGAAGAAGTTGTCGTTGTCGTAAAATATATGTCGCGATTTTATTTTGAGAGATAACTTATTGCAAGAGAGATGTCGATATTATTCGCAGACTTCTGTCGCGCTCCACCACCTTCCCTCTCTTTTTCTTTCTTCTTCTTCTTTTATAAAAACGCAGAAGAATATTACATTAAATTTTGCTTCTTTGTAATATGCGTGTTTCTCAAATTTTCTTTCTCAGATTTAGGTTTCTCAAATTTATGTTTCTGAGATTTATGTTTTTCAGATTTGCGCTTCTCAGATTTGTGTCTCTCAGATTCATGTATCTCTGTCTAGTGTTATCTATAGTTCTGTGTTTCTCACATGTATGCAAAGTCATAAAAATAATTCAAATTGCAGAATGAGGCAGTGTGTGAATGCGCGCGAAGGCGATCAGCCGGTAAGCTCCATGGATTGAGCAACTGGATGTATTGATTTACGTCGGAACCGTCTTCAGCACGGCGAAATAATAAATATAGAAATATGTCGAGGCCTCGGATTAATGCTATTACTTGTTTGCACACTCACATTCTCTCGAATTCATCGGCAATCAATTAGCGAGTGCCTGTCGAATCTTTCGCCTCGCTGCACACCGGTTGCACCGATTTTCCCGAAAAGCGCCGTTATTTTTCCGTTTTTCGATCAAACCCGTTTCGAGCGAGTTGCACAATTCGCCATGGTGTCCGACACGTTCGAAAATTTCACTTAAAAATTGAATAGAACTTTTACACATTGATCTAGTTTATAAATTTGACACGACCTCTAATGTGTGCGTAAAAAGAATAGTAATGAAAACAACCACAATTATTTTTATTAATTCTACTCACAGAAGCGTTTCTTGTCTTATTTTACAATTATAATTATCTTAATTATATTATCCTTACAACAAAGTTGTAAGGACTTCATTATCGCGAGACAAAATTTTATAAAGTTGAATTCTGTTCGTAGAAAAGAAGAAAAAGTCGAAAACCGCGACACGGAGGACACACTAGATTACCTCGTTCGATAACGCTAATTAATGTAGAATAATTATATTCGTGATTGCCGTGCGAGGTGTAAAACTACATGATGGAATTCTGTGTCGAATCTCGTGGCGGATTATAGATCTGTGGGTCATTGAATCATTTATAACAGCGAGGGAGAGAAAGACGAGAGAGGTGGGGCAGAGATGCGCAACATTCCAAATTGGAATGAATCCCATTAATAATTAATTCGTATTAATGAGAGACGTGTTACGTTGGCAAATCTGACCGGGACGACTGTTAGAACGTCGAAAATGGGTCGCCGCTCTCAGGTCCTCCAGGTGGCTTCTCCGAGGACGGCGTCACGGCAATAAGCGCGATATCGTCATCTCGTGTTTTCACTCGCCACCTGAGACCACCCTGAGTGCGCGAGTGCCGCGCCGCTTCCGGGCGGATTTATGCAGATGCATCATATCCGGAACAAGCCGTGTTTACGCCGAGATCGATGCGTTCCGCGACGATGCAAAACTTTCCTTTAGGATTCGACACACCCTTCAGCCGCGTTGTTACGATAAATAAATCCTCTTATGTCGATCTGACAAAGAGACGGGGATGAAATCGCCAAAAACAAAGAGTGAAGGAGAAAGTGAAGGATATTGAGGATGAGACGAGAGAATTTAATTTATTTTTAATCTTATTTGTTTAATCTTATTTATTTTTATTTATTTTTAGTCTTACATTCTTATTTCAGAGAACAATACTTTTTCCTCTGGATCAGTTTCGCTACTTGAAGAAATAATATTGTTCTTTCAGCCAGAAATTGTAATTACGTGTGTTTATCAGGCGACCTATTTATTCAGCCATTAGGAAAAGTAAGCGTTACATTACTGGCTAAGTAGTAATGTTAGACATAAATTTACTATCTCGTAGCTAGACATCGACGAGATTCAATCTCTAGCAGGGTGATTAATCCGTATACAAATTTCGGAAGTTCTTGAGAGCAGAGATGGGAAGAAAATGCGCGCGATGTACATTTAACTTCCTTTCGTTCTTTCTTCTCTTCCCCTCTCAGTTTATCTCTATGCGCTTGCGAGAGAAGCGAGAGAGGCGAGCCGGTTATTCGGCGGGTCGTTAATTATATCAATTCGTCAATGTTCTTTGCGGACAGCGGGCTAATCACGTAGCCGCGGACATGAGACAGCCGAGAATAGCGATGAGCGGCATCTCGGAGAGAGGCGGGCCAATTGAAGCTAGAGAGTACACACACGCTGGTGTATGCTCGACAAGGAAAATGCATCAGCGTGTTTTCGACGGGATAACACAGAAATCGGCTCGATCGGGATGCGCGAGTGCGTCGATCACGCGCCGATCGGCGGGCCATTAAAATCTCACTCACGAGAGCGGAATCCGCTGTGCGTTATCGCCGATCCGTTAAAAGCTTCCCACGCGCGCTGTAATCGGTAATGAGCGAGTCCGTTTGAGAATGAGGAACGAGCGGAAGAGCGAAACCGGTACTGACCGGTGAATTTCTCGCCACGTCCAAAAATCCGATATAAATCCGGCAGTTGAGTCGAGAGAAAATCAAAGAGAAGGCAATTCGATTTCGCAAAATCTGTGGAGAGCCTCTAATTGGGAAAAGATAAGCCGATCAAAGCCGAAAATTCCGAGTCGAAATTTTCACGTATCACTTACAGCATTGTTAGCAAAAGTAGATTTTAACAATATTATTGCTCCTGTTAATGTTTCTACTATCGTTATCTGTCATTTTCCGCCAGTTTTCAGATAATTGTTTGATTACGTGTCAACAAAACGATCTCATCTTTGATGAAATCCAGTGATGAAATCCCCTTTGATAAAATTCAATGAAATCCAGCGCGACTCGATTAATTTTTGCTAATAATAAATTTTAATCTCGACCGTAATAAATCTCTCCACTTGTAATAAATTTCTAAATTTCGACATAAGTTGAAATCTCTGGTCTTTTGAAGATAAAACCAACAACGACACTCATTTTCTCACAAAGTCATTAGATTAAAAAAAGAAAGCTGTCGCACGCAGATTGTTGGACAATGAAAAAAATTTCGTGATTTCTTTTTCCACCTAGAACCCTCTTTGTGATGGCGCGTCGCGCAATTCTGTGCCCCGCGCGAAAATAGAATGAGGGGAGAAGGCAACGGGCATAGAAAAATTCGCGAGATCGGCGTGCGATCTTAATGCGCATAAATTATACACACGCACAGATATACGTTGACGTTTCCGTGGATCGCCCGTCGAAAGTGAAATGGTCGTCGAGGAAGCGTCGGCACGTTTCGCCGGACGACGACGTCGAGGACAATGGACGACGGCGACGATTCATGAGGCGGGCTATTCTCTATTCAGAAATTTCGACGGAGCGTCTCCTCCTGCTCCTCCACCCTTGCTCCGAGCCTCACCTGCGCTTCATCTTTTTTTTCTTCCTCCTCCTCCTCCTCCTCCGCCACCGCCTTCACCACCACCTTCTCCGTCGTTTCCTCTTCTGTGTTTGGGTGTGAAGACGCGGGTCTCAACACGCCGGTGGAGTCAATTAAAAAATCTAGTTCTGCCAATGCCACTGGATTGCGACACGTGCGATCCGGCGGGGAGGATTCGGCTCCGCGGTATAAAAGATCGAAATGTCTTCGGGCAGATGCTCAACTCATCGTCCATACACCATACGGTCAACATGAAGCTCCTCCTGCTCGCGTCCGTGGTAAGAGAGACCCTCGCTTCCGGCTGCCCTCGACTCGCCGAGGTGTCTCGTTTCACGAAGCGACTTCGTTCGGGTGTGTGTGTGTGACTCCGTCGTCGTTGTCGTCATAATCGTAGTTGTCTTCGTTAGTCGGTCTCCTTCGTTCCCTCTCGGGTTGCTTTTGTTTTTCTTTATGTTATTTTAGTTTTATTTTCTTCTGGTTCAGCTTTTATTTCATTGGCAAATCGAGGAATTGTGAAAGCAAGGTGCGCGCGACAACGCGAGAAAAACCGCGAGGTTGCTTCGTGAAAGTCGACGCTCGAGCGGGCAATTAATCGTTAGTCAAAAGCAGATGTGTTATGCATTTTCATATTTCTACATTTATGATGATCATAGATATTTCTGGAAAGAAAGTGAAAGATCGTCAATCGCTCAATTAGACATTGTGCCGAATAAAAGACAGGAAGATCATGTCTTAGTCTCATTAGTGACGGTAATCGGTACCGCGAATGAACAATTGAATCACGGACTCATACTTTCCTTCTAAGCATACAAATCTGTTTTCTAGTGTTTCAATAAAAATTCATCATCATTGATTTTACTTATTTCCTTTTTTAGTATTTCTTTTCTGAGAATAAATTTATCACTAAGAGAGAGTGTATTTATTTTAAAGATATATTATATTGCTGTTGATCACAAAATACTCAATAGTCGAGATAAAGAAATCGGAATAATGGTGTTTAGAGCTCGAAAGAGTCTTCGGCGAGTATCATTCATATGCGAAACACCATTATCTTCGTGTGGATTTAATTATCACGTTTTAAACTCAATGACGACTTTTATTGCACTTACACGATTAGATACGGAAGAGCCTCAGTAATATATTCGCTCACTCTCAAGAAATTCGACGAAAATTTATTAACAGCAGAGAGAGAAAAGGACAGTTAAGATAAAAACTGATTACATGTTGGTTCTCTCGGATTAACATTTCTTTCGCGAAATATCATTTACTGATGTCATTTCTGAATCTTACAATCTTGCACAATGTATAAAAAAGCGCGATACAACCAAAATCAAAATACGACCTAGTAGCGTGTAACAGTCGTTCTTTGAATTTTTGCAATGGATCACCCATTAATATGCAAATGCTCCCGTAATCGATTCCATAACTGCTCGTTCGACAACTCGAAATTGCGTCAGGATGATAAATAAAGATGACCCATTGAAGTGCTTGTCAACAGGAGAACGAATCGATACAATAATTACTGCAAAACACAGTGACGTACATGTACAAAATTAGCAGAATAAACACGAGAACATTGTTCGGAAATTTGGAAAGTTTCAAATCCAGAGAATTATTCATCAATTTTATCGTATAAATAGATTTCTTTATCACATATCTTACTTCAATTTTTATTAATGTACTTTATTTAATATATTTCACATTTTGTAAATATATAATATCAATCATTTTATATTTAATCCCCCGTTATTGATTTTATTTTTGATTCTGTCGCACATAAACTTTAACTTAAGCAAGCCGCGATGAGACTTTCAACAGTTTCGATTTCGCAGTCCCGAATTCGCCGGTCAGAAGTATCGCTGCGTCCTCTTCCCTCTTCCCATAATTTATCTTACGTTGACACGCCCCCGCGTTGCGCTTTAAAATTCGCCACGCTGACCACTTTCATTCATTCTTCCAGATCTGCTTCGCGGCTGTTCTGGCAGCGCCGGCCGACAAACAGAAGAGGGAGATCCTGCCAGGCGACCCGCGCTATGGAACCGACCATCATCATCATCATGAGCACAAGAACGAGGTACAAATCTCGAAAGCCATCGGCGGCTATGTAGGTTCTTTCTCGGTACCAGACATAGAGGTCCAGAAGGACTCGTTCCAGGTACCCAAGCCGACCTATGGACCGCCCAACCACAAACCCGGTAACCTTATCAACGGCGACTATGCGGACAAGGACTCCATCCAGGTGCCGTCTACCTCTTACGGGATACCTGACACAGTCCAGGTAATCCTAATATGCGGCAAGGTTTTCAACACTCGCATTGCTGGAACCTAAAACAGTCATGCTTGGCATAGTTGAAATGCCAACAATCACGTGAAAACTGAAATCTTCACAATCTCCTTCATCATTTAACTTTAATTTTTCATTTCGTAATTGGTAATTGATGATTTAATAGTTGATATAAAATGTCAACAATTGTAAACATTGGAATCTTTACAGTCTTCTCCGTTATTTCAGTTTCTGATCTCATGACTCATATAATTGATAATTCAATAATTGATAATTGACATTTTGATTGAGATTTTAAAGAAATCAATTCCTAATATATCTAATATTAAAAATCGAAATTATTACAAATGCTTATTTAATTATATCTTCTCTATTTTGATCTAATAACAGTTTATAATTCTACAACTATCAATTTAATTTTCAACAAATCAAGTATATTGGTAATTCAAGAAACTGCTCCAACAATCGTGAAAATTTTTATTTTTATTATTACAAACTATTCAATCATTTTATACTTCAGTTTATGGTTGATTGTGATTTCATAATTAATTGTGTACTGACAATTTACCTAATGAGTAATAAATTTAATTTTCTAAAAGTCAATTCCAGCAACTTCAATCATAATTTACGTGTGTACATATTATATTATTGTGCAATCCACATAGAATTTTAATTGACTTAATTACTGCTATAATTACACAAACTTTTAATTACTTTACTAATTATGTTTTTCGTTGTAGATCAACAACAACTATCTTGCTCCCACTGTCGAGGACAAGAAGCCGCTTATTAAAGTGACAGTTCCGAAGGTATGTCAATCTCTCCGTGATCAAGTTTCACTTTCCACAGATTTGTTAATTGAGCCGTGTTAATTTTACCGCTCTTTCTTCCCCGCAATTAGTATTTCTAAAAATAATCAATACGTCTCGATGATTCATCTAGTTCGCCGGAATTGGCTGTTAAACCCTTCGTGATTATTCCCGAACCTGTTTAAAAACTTTCCGTAGTCTGGAGATTGATTGCGACAGGATGACAAACGGACAGTCGTTAAATTTGCATTTGGCAGTAATTTTTCGGCAAGAACGTTTTTGAATGGTGCGCGCGATTTATGAAAAGTCCGGGATATTAATTTTTCCGGTGTCGTTGATTTAACAATCCGTCAATGCTGCAAGTGTAGCTTATTATACAGCCATTTGCCTTTTATACAGAATACTTTTTAATTGATATCTATTAATCGCGCAATGCAATTTTTTCTTAAGAACCAAGTCCGAATAATTCTTTTCTGTGATACTTAACAATGTAATAATGGAGTTTCTTAAAAATTCACCAATTCTCCTTTTCAGAAATTCCTTAATTTTATACTAAGGAAAAATCACTTGAAATCTTATTTGTGGGATATAGAGCTTATCTTCGTGAGAAACAAGGTTTATTTTTTCTCAAATAAATTTTATATCCCACAAATAAATTTTCAAGTATTTGTTTCTCAGTGTTGGAGTACACAGTCAATGCTTAACTTTCTTAGAATTAAGGAACCTACACAAATTGAAATTGAACAGTTTAACTATTAAGAAGTTCAATCAATGAATCGAATTTAGAGAATCAACGCGTTTTTCGCGGTTAATAATTTACATCGTGTATATTAGCCTGACTATTCAATCATTACATAAAATGTGTAAATTACACTATACTTATTAATATTATATATTCTTCCCATATAAACGCCTGATGAGGCAATCTTGCTCAATACCATTGCTCGGAATAAAGTTGCTTCATAATCCCCGACTTGTCAATCAAGCTAAAGATAAACGTTGCACACGCTTGTTAGCCGATACAATTCTTCTTACTGAACGCTCTCTTATCGCATATTGATTAAAGACCGACGTGCGCGTTAACACCGACTTCAACATCGACTATCAGGCTCCGTCTGCCGAAGCACCCATCACTTCTTACGGCCTTCCCGACATCAAGGTAAGTACTTTGTCAACGTCGATTGAGTGTGAATCCAAAGCACCGAATATCGCTAATAAAGATACGCAAATAGTCTCAAGAATCACTCGCTATACAATTAGAAATTTAAAAAATGTAAAAATATCCTCGTTAACGTCATGTGTGTTTATCAGGTCTCGTACTTGTTTGAAGCGAGAAACAGATTCATATCTTGCAACGTATCCCAACTAAATGCATGCGAACCTTCTTTTCCAGACGACGATCAGCGAGCAGCCGAAATTCGAGGCCGTGCAAGTGCAGAGGACCAGCGTTCCGATCGTGCCGCAGGTGACGACGAAGGTGACGACAAAGTTGCCCGAAATTCAAGGTAAGCGCAGACCCGTCAAAGGAGAGACAATTTACAACGATTGGGCCACTCGTGCAAACAAACACGCGTGAATATGAAATCCGCGTCGGCGGTTATGTAAGAATTTCGGAAATTTCCGTGGATTTCGTGCCGCTCGACGCCCGCTGACATCTCCAAAAGAAAAAACTCGAGTCTCGCCCCATGAATTATTCTAATACTTGACTAACGCGGAACACCAGAGGCCCGAACGCTCCTGAAGACTCGCCCGCTTTCCGTCGCGGTCGAACGCGTATGTATGCGTATTCCATGTTCGATATGAATATTAATTACAGCGCAAAACTGACGACGGTCTTCGTAACATCGTCGATATTATATTCGCTCATTTCGCGCGCTTCTTTGCATTTTCAATATTCAGTAAGACGTGGAGCCTAGTTCCTTGACATTTTATTTCTCAGCTCGTTCGTAGCTCATCCGTTACAAAATCAGTGAGATACCGTACCGCAATTTAGTTCATCCCGAATCATCTCGTTTTCTCCACGCGAGACTTGGGACGATCCTTGAGACGATTCTCGAGGCGAGACGTCACATGTGCTTTGACATTATAACTTCAGAGTGACTTGTACCATTTTTTACTTGACACGTAAAATTAACAATTTACTCTTAAAGAGACTACTTCAAAATAAATAAATGGTACTTTAACGTTAGAGTTAAAGGACACAGTTGTCCCACAGCACTTCTAACTTAAAATCTTGTTTAATATTTTTTATTCTCCAGTAATTGTTTCATTCTTTAATAATTTCAAACAATTTTAATTAAAGGACCTCAGTCTTTTAAGTATTTTTAGCTAAAGAATGGCCAAAAGTGGTGATGACAGAAATATCCGTACATTATGATGCCATAGTGGATTCGCCATTTTATATTTTGACCTCAGATCTAGATTCAGCTACTCAAAAAACCCAGGAAGTACCCTATTTACAATTTTGTTAATTCTCTTCGAGAGCATTTTTTGTACACGAGCATTCACTAGCGTTCACTTGCTCGCGTACTTCTAGAATTCAATACTGGCAGTCTGCCCAGCTTCACCTCCTTCAACACCGGAAGCGTCCTGTTTCCGTCGGTGTACTCGAGCTATCCTACAGGCTACACTAGCTATCAATCGCTCAGCTCCATCCCCGTCAAGACCGTGGACCGCCACGTGCACGTGAAAGTGCCGCAGCCTTACCCAGTTCCGGTGACCAAGCACGTAACCTATCCCGTGCCGGTGCCACATACCGTCGAGGTCCCGAAGCCGTACCACGTGCGCGTGCCATATCCAGTACAGGTGCCAGTGGACCGTCCGTATCCCGTGGAAGTTCCCCGCGCTGTGCCCTACCCGGTACCTCACTACATTCGCACAAGCGTGCCAGTGGTACAGCCACAGCTGCACCACGTAGTCGACAAGGCGAATCCGATCCAGATCTTCTTCGAGAACACCGCGTCCACGTTCCAGGATACCATCAACAATTTCCCCAATCTGCTGGGGAATCTCTTCGAGAATTTCCCATCGTCTTTACCATCCTTGCCGTCTTTACCATCTTTACCGACATTCACACCCGCTCAGCCCACACCAACCGCACCCGCGGCGCCCACTGCACCTGCTGTAAGCTCCAACGGTGTGTCCGCGCCAACCGCCAATGACGCCGTCATCATCGAGAACCCCGCGATCAAGACCAGCAGACCCTTGGTGGTCGCGCCTCTGACCAGTCAGACTGTCCACACCGTGAAGACTACGTCGCAGGAGTATGTGCAACCGACCGACATCAACGGCGGCTACGTCTACTAAGGGACATTTAGTACACACGACTTGCGCTACTGAACATTTCATCTAGCAGAGAAACCAAGGAAGATACGTTTGTCAAGATTCGCCGCTCGCGCCTACTTCACCACGTTGCTCGACGCGATTTATTCTTCGAGAACCAGGTGTTGATTCAAGAACTCTTTTATTCTCGTTTCGCCTTTCAAGATCTGTGTTTATCGCGTGGATTTTGCACAGGCAGACTCAATAATCCAACACTTTCTTCAAATTAGCTTGTGAAAAAGAGAAGAAAATGGGGAAAAGGAAATATCATATTCTTTTAGGATATCACACTCTTTTCTGTCTCTACGACGCAAAGTGATAGAGACATAATAAGGGATGAAAACAATAAGTTATCTTCTCTCTTGAAACGAATCGAGTCTACGCGTGTATCTATGATTCGGTTGTATGACGTTCATTCGTTTGTATTTAACAACTTTTATCTGGAGATCGATCCTCCATCCCATAAGGTATTTTTTCCTAAGAGTTTAAACGCTGAATTTTAACTATCTAGTCTATATTTAACAATATTTGTCTGAAAAGTAACCTTCCATTTTAGAAGTATTCTCTCAAAACTCCGCATTTAACCGTTGCAATTTGAATAATCAGTTTATGTTTAACAATTTTCGCCTGGAAATGAGATCTCTTCTCGTTCTAAAGGACTTTTCCTCCAAAAATACGCGTTTAAGTGCTAATTTGACAAATCGTTAAGGATCTTTTGAGGACTTTACACTTGCTTGCACCGACGAATCGCACGTGCATCTGTCATTTGATCTTTCGCGAAATTCATGGAGATCCATGAATGACAATGAGCGAACGAACAGTGAAAATAAGAATTGCTCCGCATGACAGATAGAACTCACCGTTGAGAAACGATAGCGCGATTTTGAGCGCGACTTCTCATGCGACTCGAGCGACGAATGTCTTGATCGATGGACGTCTAGGAGGTATATTAGGAAGGATTGATGGACAGGAGAGTTAGAGAATATTTTTTGTACGTAAATAAAGCTCTTTTATTACAAACATCAGACCGCTCTTGGGGTTCTCTTAAACAGGATGTGCCATTTCAATGTTCTGGTGCAGAAAACATTTCAATGCGATTCCTTCGTTGCGCGCGCGCGACGATCGTTCGATAACAATAACTTAAATTGCCGCATAGCTCGCGTACGTTATTATGAGGAGAAGTACTTGAGAATATTATTTGTGGGATATAGAGTCTATTTCAGTAAAATAAACTTTATTTCTGCGAGTAAACTTTATATCCGAACCAATGTAACAAATAAATTCCCAGGTATTTCTCTCTCAGCGAGGTCTTTTAAATATTTTTTTCTCGGTTCGTCACCGAGAACGTTCTCTCCAAATTTCTCCGAGTGGAATTCCACTCGGAAAGCCAATTGACGACCGAGCGGGACTCGGATTTTTTTGAGTGACACTTCATGTTGTGAATTCCCAGATCAAAATCGTCTTCATTCGAAACCTTGCTATTTATTTCGAAATATTTATCCAGATCGAAGAGTGAATCTGGCTTTGACGTTACCGAAACAAATCCACTCTAATCGGATTGAAACATTCATTCGTGTGAATAGAGAATCCATTTCGAATTTGAGTTCAATTTACTTCACTCTTGCTATTCCAAGTCGTCGTTTTGCGTGAATTTCCACGCGTTTTTCAATGAAACTTCACATCGAGAAATTTGAACAACTTTTCGACTGAAATATCTCTTTGAGGTTTTCGCGTGCTTCACCGAATCTTAGGATAAGTCGAATCGATCGACTTACCATTGTCAATTGGAGCTAATCACAGACATACAAATGTAATTAGAAAGAGAGCGGCCAATTCTCTTTCATTCGATTAAAGCTCACGACGAGTTTATTTCAAATATGTAATTCTCTAATTTGAGCCTCTCTTTGTTCCCAAGCCAAGTGACTCGAAAGTGTCCCAGTTTTAACAGATGACATCCAAAGAGATTAGTTTAAACTTAACGTGATTTCGACTCGATTTCACTTTCACGTTTAAAGTGAGGGATGTCTTTTAAGAGCAGATTTTTGCCGTTCACAAAAGACAGGTAATGCCAATTCATACTTGTCTTTCTGTTTATATAGCGCCATCTGTTGAAATTGGAATTCTTTGGAATCATTTTTCTCGAAAACGGTAAGAGGCTCAATTTAAAGAGTTACATATTCGGAATCGACTCGACGCAAGCTTTAATCGTATGCAAAAGGAATTGACATTGTCGAGGACCTTAAAATCATGAGACGTCTATGAGCTACTTGGCCACACTCTCTGGTTTCTAAATTCAATTTCACGCTGAAATACTCGTATTTTTCATATAATATTCGAACTTTACGCTGAAACAAATGGATCATCGTCAGCGTTTCGTATCGTAAATCTTGCGAGCTCATTGACGAGCGAACAACATATCGACATAATTTCTCTCTGCCAAGAGCAATAGCCTCGCCATAGCGAAATGTCGAGCTGTCTCTCCTCGCATCAGCCGTTTACCACACGCGACACTTCTGCAACGGGTTCATGTTCGACCCCGGCGGGCATTTCCACGCGGCGCTGAACTCCTCGGAGTTCCTCAGTACTGCCTGAAGTCTCACGTGGCCGGGACAGTGTGAATCCTCCAGCATCCATTTGAGCGAAGTGGCCGTATAAGACTCGCACCACAACTGAAATCAGTTAATCACGCGTGTTTATTTTTCATATTCCTTTCTTCATCTTTGCGAGGGAATCTGGGATTTTTTTCGACCTGCAAGTTAATTCGGCATCAGAAGCAAAACGTGGACGTTTTAACGAACGAGAAATCTTACTTTCAAGAGACTGATCTGAGTGGCATTCGAAAAAAAGCAGAAGCGCGACAAGATCGTATTTTTTGCTCGTCGATTTTTTGCTGTCCTTAGCTGCTTTAATTTATTGCGATTTTACAGATTGGGCGATGTTTAGGTAAATAAGAACCATCTGTCTCGAAGCGAAGGTTAACCGCTGCATAGCGAGTCCTATCAGATTCTTGAGAATTTAATACATAACCATGTGACGCGGAAGCGGAAACGAATCGGTATAAATCGCGGAGAATTCGACGCTTACCGAATCATTGAGGAATCTAAAAATATTCGCGCGTGATTATAAAAGAAAATTCTTTACGGATTCCTCAGTCGATTTAATCAAACGAGGATTTATTCTTTCACTTTTCCTCTTCGCTGTTAAAGTAAAAAACCAATACTTTGTGTAAATTTAGATTGAAGTTGAACACTTTATATAAACATATCAACGCGTTAATGAATACGGTTATTCAACATCTTTAATCCTTCGCGGCTCGAATTGCTTTTGGCTTTACCTCTCTCTCAATGCGCAGAATTCATTCACCTCGCGATAAAGTCGCGTAGTTTATTTCGCTAACTTAATATTTAATTAACGCAACGACATATTTACAATAATAAATTTATATCAAGTATTTTCTGATTGTCTTATCATTGTTCCAATCTCCATTGGAGATGTATAAGTCAATTTCTTTCATTAATGTACAGAGCGAGGTAATAACTAACGACCACTTTAAATATTTTTGAACTATGAGAACAGGTGAAAAATTTATCTAACAAAAATTATATCACATGACACATTTTTCTGATTGTTGTATTCCTCTTAAGAGCTACTATTAAAAAATAAATGCAGAAACTTTAACATTCTATTACAAAAAGAAACAGAGTTGACTTTCAGATCTTCAAAACTGCTTCACCCAGAAATAAAGCACAGATATCTATTTATGAATTAGAAATTAAACCAATAGTAAGAGAATCACGCAGCAAGAGCCAGAATAGTGCTGATCTCGGAACCAATATCTATAAGAGAATTGATTCATAAAATCGACGATAATAAGACACGCATTGTCGAAATGGACTCGATGTAGAGGGGGTCGCAAAGCATCATTAAACGCACAAACGGTGCCGTTCAGATTGATTGACAATTAACTGACGAGCGATTTGTTCCTGTCAGAATCACTCGAAATCAAGCGCGATCGCGTGAAAGCACTTCTTCAAGGCTCGCTGGCTGGAGATCTGAGAGACAGCGGAGGAGTCGAGGCCGAAATTCAACGACCGACACGTGATATAAACGACATCGCTGCGATAAATATGCCGTTACATCATAATTGGGGAACGGGGCCGTTGCCTTACGTGCGCATAGCTGAGAAAGAACAGCTGCTCGTGCGTGAATTGCGTGAATCCCGGAAGAAGGGGCTCCTCGCCATGCCTGGCCTTCCACCTCTCGTAAGCGATGACGGCCTCGTGGAGGCCCCCATTATCGGCGATGTTCTCGCCCAAGGTCAGCTCGCCGTCGATGTAATCGTCAATCTGTCGATTGGATGATGTATTATTAGCTGGGGCTGCGAGACCTCGGTTCGTTCAACTCTCTTGCTAAAGAGAACGATCGTCGCTCGTAATCCTCGATCTTGGATGAAGCAATCGCGATGGATTAATGTACATAAATCGCTCGATCTTATAGAGACGTTAATCCACGAATTTCGAGATCTTTCCAACGTGATATCTCAAATAAAAATACATAAAGGAAATCTCGGTAAAATAAAAAAAATGTGGTTGTGAATTTAATAAAACAAAGGAAAAATGTAAAAAAAGTAATATAGAAATGAAGAAAACGGTATGAAAAAAAATGTAGTAATATTAAACAATTTTTGATCGTAAAAAAAATAGTATGTTTTCCTGTAGAACTTTATTTATCAGACTATTCAAGTAAAATATGTATAAAATAATAAGATATGAAAATAGAAATTATAAAGTGAAATCATATATAAAAATACTATAAAAACGGAATTGAAAAGACTTGATAAAATTATGAAGAAACTCAACAGAACAAAGTGAAATAAGGGTGAAAGTAATAAAATAAAATAACACAGAGTAATATTATATGAAGACGAAGCAGTATTAGGAAGATTTAAAAGATCTCCGGGGAAGTATTTGATGACACTTTCTTGATTTACATTTTCTGAATCAAGATTTCCTTTAGATTTTCTCTAAATCAAATCTAACATGTGTGTGTCTTCTTACAGATACCAAAATATGTAGCTGAGTATTCGAACTCTTGAGGATCTCGAGTTTCACGAAATATCATCCCCTCAATTTTGCTTTGCTCGACAAGCTCACCTCATCCTCGTAATATGTGTTGTAATGATCTATGAAACACTGCGTTCTCTCGGTGTATTCCGCGATGGTCTCGTTGCTCCACCATTGCCTTATGTTCCCGTTGCTGTCATAGTGCCGGCCGCTGTTGTCGAATCCATGGGTCAGCTCGTGGCCGAGGACCGCGCCGATGGCGCCGTAATTCAATGACCTGCAATTGAGACCGTTTCAGGTGAACCAATCATCAGAGACATCAATTATCATCTAAAAACAGAACGTTCTCTCTTCTTTTTTTCTACTGTGTCTACTCTTTTACACTGAGGAAGAAAACTTTTGGTACTTGCAACTATAATCACACATAGAACAACCAACAAATATAGTCGGGGCGAGAAATAACCATAATTTTAGTTAGCTCGATCGTTTCTTTCTTTTAGTGTAGAAATAATCGTGAAATAATTATTCTTGTTCTCTTACTCGAGGCCCAATTCATAGAACGGGAATTGGAGAATTCCGTCAGGTATGGCTGCGTGTGAATGGCGCAAGAAAAAAGAATATATTAGTGTAGAATAAAAATGTAACTGAGACAACTGCGAATGAAATATCGACAGGGATGCTGTACGCCTATTGATTTCTAATTAATCCTCTATATACTATCAAGCTTTGTTAAATCCAACTTTAGTTCTTAAATTCTTTTTTTCAGTTCCGACTATTTTTTTCAGTTCCGACTATTTTTGTAAGGATTAAAATGTAATTATTTTCCTTAAACAGAATGCGATAGTATATTAAGAATTAATTTTATGTTGGTTTAAAAGAGAAGAAAAATATAAAAGTAAAGAACAAATAATGCTGCACTCGGCGAGATATTAAAGGGAAAAGTAATACAGTTGGAAATTAAAATTTTATCCTATTATCAGTCCTAAATACGTCTACATCTACGCGCGCGATTTCGTCCGCGAAGAGGTTGATATACGTACTTATTTGGTTATCTTGAAAAGCGTGGTAGGCGTTCACGCTGGTGGGATTGGTTTCCCAGCTAATTATCCATGACGAAGCGTAACGTAAAAGAAGACAAAACTTTAGCGCGTTTCATCGACGATTTGTAATCTGTGAGATTGTCGTACTTACTACGTCTCGTTGTCCAAGTTAACGTGATGCAGCGACGACAACGTTTTGTTCATTATTGAGTGCACCATCTGCACTATATTCTCTAAGAATCTCGTCTTCGACAGATCCACCTGAGTGTTAATAAGTTGAATTCAATTTTTCCGTTGTCAATTTTTCGTCTTACAATCAATTTTTAATTTTAACTAAAACTTTCACAATAACTTGGACTTTAGCTGCCTAAAGAGCTAACTTCAATTAATTTCAACTGATTAAAATTGACGAGGAGGAAAAGAAAAAACGAACTTATTTGTACTTATCTGATACTTTTTATCTGATTAGCAAATTGATTGATTTACTAACTAATCAGAGCTGACGAGAAGGGGAAAAGAAAGCAAGCCTAATTATACGAGACTCACCCCCCTGTAATAGTAGTTGAGCTTTTCCTCGTCGAAGATCCACTCGGGATATCCGATCTCGGACGTCATCTTCCTGTTCTTCTCGAGAGTGGCGGCTATCGTCTTCTGGTCCATCCAATCCATTTCGCCGACCAGCGAGACGAACGCCTCTTGTATATCCTTCAGCATTTCGAGCACTTTGCTAGCCTTGTTATTCTGGAGTGACTGATCAATGAACATCCATGACACCGCCATTCCTAGAAAAATGACGAAGAAACGACGAAGAAAATGACGAAGAACGCCCTTCATTCCGAGCGAAATCTATGCAGCGCAGTGCACCTTTCGAGATATCGGAATTTGGTTGCAATTTTTTCTCTTGAGCGCAGAAAAAATTAATCCTTCCGAAAATTTCTCTTGATGACGAATTAATTGTTCCTTATACGTGTTCTTCTCACCGTGAAATTTAATTTATGTATAACATCAATTTAATTAATTAAATCTAAATTAATTCGGACATTTAATTCGAAATCAACGTAGCGACATGCATACCCATGAGTTGATTGGTATACGTTGCGCAGCACAGAGATCTGGATTCTTCCATTTCTATATCCGACACTCTATTAGCATATGTCTTCCAGGCGTCCCTAATCTTCTCAGAACAATGAGGTGCTACCATGTCCACGACGATCCACCAGATGAAAGTTTCTGAATGAAAATATTAGATATTAAATCGAATGAAATGCCGTAAGATCAAGTATAAGGACTGGAAATTAACGCTGAGAAGAGATAAAAGAGTAAATTACTAAATCAATATTAATCAACATTAATAGAAAATAAAATAGAAAATAAGATGAAAGATATAAGATGAATAAAAATGATAAGATGAATGATTAAATAACTGACAATGATTAAGGTTAGGAAAGAATGAATTAATACATAATTGAATCAACAATAAAAAAAGAAGATAAAATAATTATTAACATCAATGAAGAAGATCATAAGTTAACAATAAATATTTAACGTGGGTGATTGATATATCAGAGACTTTCATACCCAGCTCTGTCTCGTCGGCAACAGCAAGTAACAACATGGAGTCCTTTAAGTATTCCAAATTGCCGACAAAAACTTTGTCTTTCGTGTCGAGATCTAGCGAGGTTATTCCTTCAAAAACAGCCTCGATGTAGGGCCGCCAGAATCGTTTGGGTATTAGGCTCGCGTTGGCGTCCAGCAGCGTCTCGTCGGTCAATCGTTGCAAATCGTCCACTAGCATGTAATTATCGTCAGTCAGGCTGTCTTCGGAAACGCTATGATTCCAATTTAGGCTAATAAACTGTGAAAAGAGCAAATTTTACTTTCTTTCATTCGATCGTCATTCCCTGAATAATTCGATAAAAAAAAAGCGTTCGGTATATTACGTCGAGAAAGAAGGATTGATTTAATTATAATTTGATACTTGAGACTTTCGCATGGAGAGAGTTTATCTTGAGCATTTTTTATTTCTATAAATTAGACTTACAAAAATTAATTTTATACTTATAAGATTTTATATAGATTTTATAAGATTTTATATATATTAAATTATTATAGGATTCAAATTAGTATGATAGATAATTATTTTCAACTGCAATATTGCGAGTGCAAGTAAATTATAATAAACTGTAGGACAATTCAGTTCTGTTGAACTAAACTGATACTTAATTGTAATTTTATTGTAACTAAGAAAAGAAAAATTCTCACGCTATATAAAACGGTAGTGAACTCGTACGTAGTCTTGACCAACTTATCGAGTTCCTCGTTGGTCACTGTAGAATTATCCTCAGCGACGCAAGAGTCTATAGTTCCGTTGCTGATGACTAGCTTGATAACTTCCCTCATGTAATCCATTTCGGCTTCTTCGTCCTCGGTGAACGTCATCTCGTCGTCGGTATCTAGTTTTCGCAGTCGTGATCTAACGAGCTTCAGTCGTTTCTCGAGATCTTTATTGCTATTGACAAGGGTATCGTCATTATTCAATTTTGCCATTTGAAAACATAATAAGAAGGCAGAAGAATTGCATCTAATCTCTTATTTGCGTTCAAACTTCTCAAAAATTATATCGATTACCCTGACATCGATATCGTGAAATTTTGTTACTGAAGGAATAACTTCCCATTAAAACAAATGCAACGATCACAATCACAGATATTAATAAGAATAATAATAATACATAATAATACCTTCCTCGATACACACACAGAGATACATACGTGGGAAAGTGACAGGCCATCAACGAAGTATCAAGGAAGATTACGTTCTTGCTTCTGTTCCTCGGATCAGGCATGACCTCGAGGCCGATGAAAATGTCGGCGCCCATAACTCTCTTCACGTTGGCTAATTGCTGAATGAAATCGCCTGTCTTGTTGCTGAGCATCGCCGGTATCAGGGGTATATCCAGCAACGTCAGCACGTTAAACAATGGCGACAGGTCCAGTTCGTTTATCGCCTCTGGAATCGCGTGTTCTTGCTTATCACGAGGAACGTTCGCGGCGGAAGACAAGATCGGGCTAAAAAATCGCAGAAGGGCCGGAAAAATAGCAAAAACGACGACATACTCATGTCCATGCAGCTGGTGAACAGCGTCTTGGCCTGCGTCACCGCCCAGGGCGACGACTCGCTGGTTACATTCTCCTGCAGCAGCTCCCTGATCTTCCTGGACACGCGATCGGTGCGCTCGTGGAACCACGTGTTTGTCAGACTAGAATCCGGGATAGGATGCTCCATTGGCCACCTGCCGCACGTATAACTGAAAGAGATCCCGTGATAAGAACGACGACGACAGTCGTGATGGCCTAGGAACTTCCGTACGTCGCGAACGTTCGGTATCAATCGGTGCGACAACACAAGAATCTATATTAAGAGAATTTATTTTGAAAAGAAGATACATTGATACGCAAAAATAGTGACAGGAATGTTCTTGAATGCCCTGTAATTTGTTTTATTTGCACGCGCAATTGCGAAAATAACGATCTAATTAATATTAAACACAAAAACCTAATTTTTATAAATATAATATATATAAATAAGTGAATAAATATATAGAAAATTAAATAAATATAAGCAAATAAAGGAAAAAATGTAAAAGCAATTTATTTTTCTCAATGTGTGTGAAAAATATAAATATGTAAGTAAATATTAAATACTTACAAATAAACATTAAATATACAAGCAAATTACTTTTAAAAATAAAATATAGCTTAGAATATATATATACAGGGTATTTTACTTTAAGTGATATGGTCGATTATCTCGCGAATCGATGATTTTATTGAAACATTTTTCAAATGAAAGTTGCATGGCTTGAAGGGGGACACATGATGAAAATGTGGACTTGATCTTGAGTGATCTTATCAAAATCAGGTTAAGGCCATTAATGATTTTTTAAACAGAAACTCCTATTTTTTATTACATATTCTTGTAGCTTATCGCGAGAGCTTTCCAAG